GCTGCACCTGCCACGAAATCTGCACATGGAGGTTCCCAAAGTGCTGTGCCTGCCAGGAAATCTGCACATGGAGGTACACAAAGTGCTGCACCTGCCACGAAATCTGCACATGGAGGTTCACAAAGTGCTGCACCTGCCACGAAATCTGCACTTCAAGAAACAAGTGAAAACTCTAATCCCAATGGACGGACGATTCCGAGCATGATCCGAGCATGACCCGAGACCGTCTCGCAACCGTCGTTCCGCAGACCTTGACTTGCGAGCTTCGGAGCCACCGGTTCCATTGAAAAATACAGCATTTCGTGCCTTCGCTATCTCTCCACAACCCATTTTGTCTTGCGCCTGCCACGAAATCTGCGCATGGAGGTGCACAAAGTGCTGTGCCTGCCACGAAATCTGCACATGGAGGTTCACAAAGTGCTGCACCTGCCACGAGCTTGAGCTGGTGTATGAGCGGTGTACGATGAGTGGTGTATGATGGGTGGTGTGTGATCACTCGTGTATGATGAGTGGTGTATGAAGGCTGTCACCCTGCACTTGCTCTGAAAAAATTGCTCCGACGCTGGCTGGTAAGCGGCTCTCCACCTCAGCAAGAGACAGAATCGCAACGCGCTAGTGCCTACTATACCAGGGCAGTATCCCGTGAATTTGCAACCCCCGATTGGTTTCCAGTTGTCAACCATCCAAGCCGGCGGCAGGTTTGGCATCCCTAAGATGGCCATTGGCAAGGTTTCCCATCCCTGTTTCTCCAAGTCACGCAAGGCTGCCTGCGCTCCAAGTTCAGCAGGGTTTAATTTGGGGCAAGGCCAAAAGTTCTTGCGCATGTATAGCCCATACAATGACCAGACTACACAAAGGTCGAGGGCATTTCGCGTGGGAACCCCAACAAAGGGAGTAAACATGGTTCCATTGATAGCGGTGTCACTCGGAGTAACCGGCGGTCTGGCTCTGGAGACAAGGACGAGCCGATACGCTTGGAGTTCCTTGGCTAGCATCGCTGAACTAAGTTGCTTGCCCATCGGACTGTTCCTGAGTAGTGTATGATGAGTAGTGTATGATGAGTGGTGTATGATGAGTAGTGTATGATGAGTAGTGTATGATGAGTGGTGTATGATGAGTGGTGTATGATGAGTGGTGTATGATGAGTGGTGTATGATGAGTGGTGTATGATGAGTAATGTATGATGAGTGGTGTATGATGAGTGGTGTATGATGAGTGGTGTATGATGAGTGGTGTATGATGAGTGGTGTGTGATGAGTGGTGTATGATGAGTGGTGTATGATGAGTGGTGGTTGAACAGCTGTTGAATGTCCGTAACACGGAAGTTTTGCACACTAAGCTTCCTTTGACTAGTAGGGCACTTGTTACTAGTAGCGTGGCACTTGTTCCTAGTAGCTTCTTGTTACTACTAGTAAGGCACTTGTTCCTAGTAGCGTGGCACTTGTTACTAGTAGCTTCTTGTTACTACTAGTAAGGCACTTGTTACTAGTAGCGATGCACTTGTTACTAGTAGCTTACTAGTGGCTTCTTACAGCATGTGTAAAGCAGTTGACTTTGACCTCAACATTTTCGTTTTCGCTCAGGTTGAAGGCCATCCCTTCTAATTAGGTTGGAGGCCGTCACAAGTAGGATGGAGGCCATCGCAATTAGTTTGGAGGCCACGGCTATTAGGTTGCGGAGCGCATTGCAGGTGAGACACATTTTAATCGAAGCATCAACACGCTGTTCCCTCTGCGCTTTGGTGACGTCCCGTGGCATCCGCAATGTGCTTTGGAACAGCAAATGCTCCCTTGGGGTGTAGCTCTCCAGCAACATTTCCTCAAAAAACACCAGGAATGCGCAATATCTATCCAAATCTATTGCGCTCAAAAAAAAAATTCTTCAAACTTCCTTCTACCAGTTTGCCCAGGCACTTGCTGGTGAACATATGCGACTCTTCCCTTCAACGACTGTGAGTATGGGCACCTCGGCAATGTAGCGAATGTAGCTTAAAATGTAGCATTTGCTTCGCTTGGCGGGAAGGGAACACTTGGAGTTTCATTTCGTCGTAGGGGCTCCTGGCATCGCTACAGGAGCAAAAACGCTACTAGTAACAAGTGCCTTACTAGTAGTAACAAGAAGCTACTAGTAACAAGTGCCACGCTACTAGGAACAAGTGCCCTACTACTAGTAACAAGAAGCTACTAGGAGCAAAGGCATCGCTACTAGGAGAGAGGACGCTCCTGTACGACTTCGCTTCGCCAAAGATGTTGGTCCAAGCGTCGCGTTGAAGGTGAGTTCGCCCGACGTTGGAGCGGTGCGAACGGCCAGGCAATTCAACAAGGAAGTTTTCCCCGCCTCAGCAAGGACGCTACTAGGGGCTCCTGGCCTTACTACTAGTAACAAGAAGCTATTAGGGCTCCTGGCATCGCTACTAGGAGCATTCTTGCTACTAGGAGCGAAGGTAAGCCAGGTCAAAGCTCGGTAGGTCAGGATGTCAAACCTAGAAGCGATGGCCTGTTTTCGGAAAAACGAAGAGACAACATCGAGACAAAATCGAATCGGATTTTGAAACTTTCTACTAGCTTCTTGTTACTAGTAAGGCACTTGTTACTAGTAGCGATGCACTTGTTCCTAGTAGCTTATTGTTTCTATGTTTCTATGATGTTTGGAGCTCATCTATGCAAATCACCTTGGTGCGGGTCTGGAATTCACTGAAACTGTTGGTGCATCACTTGAGGTTCTAATCCCTAGTGGAGCTGTTGGCTCATCTGTGAGAGGCAATGCTGGGAGTGCTTTGCTCTTGTTTGCGCTTGGATCTTCCCTTCTTCAGTTTTGATCAACTTGAAGATCTTGTGGAGACCTTGCCTGGACGGCATAAACTCAACGTGCATGGTATCATTTAGCAGGTTGGAGGCCGTCGCTGGTGGGATGGAGACCATCACTATTTCATTGGGGGCGATCTTTAGGTTCGAGGCGATCTTTATTAGGTTGGAGGCCATCGCTAGTAGGTGGGTTGCTTGTGCTTGTTTCATCTTGTTTCCTGTGATCTGGCCCGTTGTCCAGGATCACTGTTCCTACCATGGCTATGCAATGTTGGCTTCAACGGTTGAGAGCTGCGCGCTTTTTATGCTTTCTGATCTAGGTCCTGGACCCTGTGATGTTGGAGTGGCCTGTCTCTAGTAGCAAAAGGAACCTAGCTTAAGGAACCTAATGGACTCCAACGAGGTTCCAACCTGTCTGTCTGTCTCTTTCTTCCTCACCTTTTCGACATTCAACAAGGCCCAACCACCTTTCACGTGAAGGGGCCGAAAGGGCACAAAGCCTGTCACAAAGCCAATCAAAACAACTTGTTACCAGTAGCTTCCTGTTACTACTAGCGTGGCACTTGTTACTACTAGCTTCTTGTTACTACTAGTAAGGCACTTGTTACT